GGATGGATGGATGGGTGGGCGGACGGATGGATAGATGGATGGATGGATGGATGGATGGGCGGGCGGGCGGATGGATAGGTGGATGGATGGATGGATGGGCGGGCGGATGGATAGGTTGATGGATGGATGGATGGATAGATAGATAGATAGAAAGATAGATAGATAGATAGATAGATAGATAGATAGATAGATAGATAGATAGATAGACGGACGGACGGACGGACGGACGGACAGACAGATACATAGATAGATAGATTTCTAATGATAAATATTTAATCAATCACTTCCATCAGTTTAGAATCAGCTATCAGCTGTCTCCCCTTCGGGGAACAGGTTCAAAGATTGACTTTAATTCTATTAAAGTACTACTACAATGAAATAAACCCTTGCCTGGTTAAAGCTAAAGATCAGCACCTCTCTCTAATGTTCCAGCCACTTGTAGTCCCCATCAGAAGTCCCTGGGACCGGGCGACAACACAGGAGCACATTTGGGAGACGGGGCAGAGCGTTGTCACCCTATAACAAAAACTGGCCAAACGTCAGGATCCAAAAGGAATTATTTTAATGAAAGCTACAGATTTTTTTTTTTTTTATTGAAAATGACATTTGAAGTTCAATGAACCTGCATGTCTGCTCGTCCTGTCATTGACATCACTGTCACCGTTTGCACTTCTTATTTGTTTCACATGAGTCACATAGGACTGTATATGCTTTGTGAAAGACGACAGACCGGTGGGAAGACTCTGGATATAGTGCAATATAATGGGTAAGCCGTATTAGTCCAGATATATTATATATATCTTTTATGTTTGTGATTTTTCTTAGAAGCGTCAGTCAGTTTTTGTGAATGGGACTTGTTTGAAGAAAAAAAAGTAATTGTTCCAACTTTTTTTTTTTTTTTAAGTATAAAATCAAACCCGGGAAGCCTCTGGATATTCATTTTTCCACATGAAAATGTTTAAGGGACCACCCAAGCAGCCACGTGACCGATGAAATACCCAAATGGGACTAATATGATACATGATCTGCATGTCGGCATTGTCAGAACATGGTAAAGAATGGTGTGTATCAATAACAATTTGAGACGTTTATTGATTGTATCTATTTTTGTTTTTGTTTGTTTTTTTCGTTCTTTGAGAAATATCAATCCGTTTTTGTAAATAGGACTTGTTTGAAGAAAGTAGTCATGGTCCTAATATTTATTTATTTATTTATTTTTAAATCTGACGTGAGAAGACTCTGAAGATTCACTTTCCCACATGATAATAGGATTCTCCCAGTCGGCCAAGTGACTGATGAAATACCCATGTGGGATTAATGTGATACACAATACACGTCCGCATGCCAATATTGACGGAACATTGTAAAGAATTCTGTATATTTGAACTATGAGGTGAGTGAAAATCTCTTCCAAAGACCTCCTGCTTTCCAGCTCCCTCGTCAACTCCTCCCATGCTCACCTTCAGGACTTCTCCAGAGTCTTTATCATCCTTTGTAACTCTTTACACCCAACCTGTCCGTCTATCTCCCACTCTGACTGCCTTTAGGCGATCCCTTAAGACTCATCTCTTCAGGGAAGCCGATCCCACCTCAACCTAAACCACTCAACCATCACGTTCTCAAACAATTCATCCCCACACAGCTCCCTCCTCATGTATCACTTCCCCCTCTCTTTTAGATTGTAAGCCCTCAGGGGCAGGGCCCTCCTTACCATCTTGTCTGGAATTGTATTGTGATTGTCATGTCTTCCTTACTGTTGGCGATTTATAAATCCTGTATAATAATAATAATAATGAAGGGTCTACCCAATCGGTCATGTGACTGATGAAATACCCATGTAGGATTAATTTGATACACAATACACATCCGTATACCATTAGTGACAGAACATTGCAAAGAATGATGTGTATCAGTAAGAATTTTATATGCACATATATACATATCTTATATCTATTGTACCTTTATATGCACATATAGACATGTCTTATATCTATTGTACCTTTATATGCACATATAGACATGTCTTATATCTATTGTACCTTTATATGCACATATAGACATGTCTTATATCTATTGTACCTTTATATGCACATATAGACATGTCTTATATCTATTGTACCTTTATATGCACATATAGACATGTCTTATATCTATTGTACCTTTATATGCACATATAGACATGTCTTATATCTATTGTACCTTTATATGCACATATAGACATGTCTTATATCTATTGTACCTTTATATGCACATATAGACATGTCTTATATCTATTGTACCTTTATATGCACATATAGACATGTCTTATATCTATTGTACCTTTATATGCACATATAGACATGTCTTATATCTATTGTACCTTTATATGCACATATAGACATGTCTTATATCTATTGTACCTTTATATGCACATATAGACATGTCTTATATCTATTGTACCTTTATATGCACATATAGACATGTCTTATATCTATTGTACCTTTATATGCACATATAGACATGTCTTATATCTATTGTACCTTTATATGCACATATAGACATGTCTTATATCTATTGTACCTTTATATGCACATATAGACATGTCTTATATCTATTGTACCTTTATATGCACATATAGACATGTCTTATATCTATTGTACCTTTATATGCACATATAGACATGTCTTATATCTATTGTACCTTTATATGCACATATAGACATGTCTTATATCTATTGTACCTTTATATGCACATATAGACATGTCTTATATCTATTGTACCTTTATATGCACATATAGACATGTCTTATATCTATTGTACCTTTATATGCACATATAGACATGTCTTATATCTATTGTACCTTTATATGCACATATAGACATGTCTTATATCTATTGTACCTTTATATGCACATATATACATATCTTATATCTATTGTACCTTTATATGCACATATAGACATGTCTTATATCTATTGTACCTTTATATGCAGATATATACATATCTTATATCTATTGTACCTTTATATGCACATATATATATATATATATCTTATATCTATTGTACTTTTGTATGCACATATATATACATATCTTATATCTATTGTACCTTTATATGCACATATATACATGTCTTATATCTATTGTACTTTTATATGCACATATAATATATATCTTATATCTTTTGTACTTTTTCTATACAGTATAGAGGCATCAGTCAGTTTTTGTGAATGGGACTTTGTTTGAAGAAAGTAGGCATGGTCCCAACTTTTATTTGCCTAAAAATTACAGGGCCAAATAGATATTAATCACCCGGGCAGACCTGCCACCTCCACTGCTGTGCTGTCACCTCTGTGAGGCCGAAGACCCCATATCAATAAAAGAATCATTTTAATGAGCACCTCCTCAACCCCCCTCTGCCCTGGCTTTTGTCAGCGATGGGCACTGTCCATCCAATAAACCCTCAACGGGTCGACTGCCAATGTAGCTGTGACGAGGAGTGTGTGTGTGTGTATTGAGGGGGGGTTGGTGGCATTTTCATGGTTAAATAGATTGTCCTGCCTTCAGTCAATGCCATCGTTGGCAGGGTGACAGTAGTCGAGTGTGCAAACTCGTGCTATTGTCCCCCGGGCCTTTGGGGTGCTATGGAGACACGGTAAAATGACACAGGGAAATGTCTTGTGATGGCAATTCTATGGCTTTTGTCTCAGTCTTTCTCCATCATGACGACTCGATTTAAGTCTCTAACTGTTTGACTACAAATGCGAGAGTTGCTACCCAGCTCGGTCCCTTTTGTCCGCCGGGCTTGAATGGGTAATACGCCTTTTGTGTCTCTCAATTGAGGGGGCAAACAGATTCCACAGCTCTCCAACCTACTTTCCATGGCTATGCGTTCATCTCTTGAAGGATTTTGTTTTCATTCTTACCTTGCTGACATCACCCCTGCATCCCAAAAAAAAAGGAAGAAGAGAAAGAGGGGCAAAGACAACAGATCCCTGGTCAGTAAAAAAAAAATAAGCCAGGCCCTCCTTTAATGCCCGCATTGTCCGGTGTCAGTGAGGCATGGTCTCCTTCAGCCTTCCAGACACATTCTCTTGTCAAGAGAAGGAAAGAGGGCAGTTCACCTATCCTCTTTTACTAACCATCGGCGTATCATGTATTGTGCACAGGATGAAGAGGGGACATGACAAAACAAAACAAAAAAAAGAGAATCGATGGTATTTTTTTTTCCCTTTGGTGGCCATTCGTGGCCGTCACCATAGAGACCATTTGAAATGGACAAGAATGTGGGAACGGACTGGCTGAGGCCTGATTGCAATTCTTTGTATTTGCACAGCGGAATTTGATTGGCCAACAATCCCCCCCCTAACTACGAGCGTTCATTCACTTTATTCCTCATCCCTGGAGGCATCGGTGCACTTGTACAGGTTTGCGAGCGTAACAAGATTAGCCCTTGTACTACTCTACGGCAAACAGCGGAGACATTCGGGACGGGTGTGAAGTAAGTCGTGAATTTCGTGTGTATGGTTTTTTTTTGGGGGGGGGGGACAACTCTTGGGGTTTCTTCATCATAGACATATTACAGCTTCAGAAGATGGACATTTTTTGGGGTTCCGTCCCGAGCTTTGTGTGTCTACGTCTAACCTCGGTAGCTGAACTCTTGAAAATGTTTTTTCTTTTTTTGTTTGGTCCATTAGGTCTCATTGTATCGAGGAACCGCCTCCTTCGGACTTTCATGGAAATCTGGTCTAGGATCAAGCCATGGCGTCCGATAACGAAGTGAAGACTTTGTTGAATTTCGTCAACCTGGCGTCGTGTGACATCAAGGCCGCTTTGGATAAGTCGGCGCCTTGCCGCAGGTCGGTGGACCACAGGAAGTACCTGCAGAAGCAGCTGAAGAGGTTTTCTCAAAAGTACTCCAGGCTGCCCCGATGCCACTCGGGCAAGAGCGTCGAGCTGAGGAAAGGGTTGGTGGAGAGGATCAATTTGGCCGCCCGCAGCAAAGGACTGAGCGAGAAAGTCATGGACGAAAACGCCGTCGGGGGCGCGTGCCTGCGGGAGAATAGTGCGGAGGGCGGTAGACCGGACCAAGTGCCGATGAGGAAGAGACAGCTGCCCCCTTCTTTTTGGGAAGAGCCGAGACCTTCCACCAGCCTCCTGGAGATGCCTTGCCCCTCCAAACTAGATATCTTATACAAAGATAGAACGTCTGTCACCGGGACGTCACTTTCCAGCTTCGAAAACAAAAAATTAAAAAACACAGCGGCCCAGGAGACGTCCGGCCCTTCCGGCCCCGATAAGGAAGCCGGCAAAGTGCCTTCGCTAACGCCCCTGGCCGGACGGGTCAACGTTTGTAGCTGCTGCCCTCTTCAGTACCATGGACAACAGATGCTGTACCACCACAGTCACGGGACCCTTCCCCCAGACCCCTTCGCAGCCCTCGCGCTGTGGAGTAAAAGCGCGGCCGTCCCCACAGTGGAGATCCAGCACTTGTGTAAAGACTCCGGACAGAGAATCTACAGGCACGTGGTTTTTAAACCGATACCCACCAAACCCGCCATGCCGGCTTCCATTTTTAATGTTTTTGGATATATTTGATGCAGACGGGGGAACCATGGGCAGGCTGTGGATCCTTGGGGGGCGTTAAAGGACTGCAGGTGCATAGCAGAAGTTGCCTGGGGGCATATTCATACATGGCTTTCACACAGGATTCACATGGCTTTCACCCAGGATTCATACCAGTTCCTAATGGAATCCAATTAGAAAAATGTGTGAATCCTGGGTGAAAAATAGGCAGCGGAAAGTAGATGTGAATCCCATCTGGTTGGTGTTTAGTTTTTTTAAAACCTGTCCCATAAAATACTGTTTATCTTTTTCCATCCCGTGTTGCATCTCAGTGCTGTTGATCTCCTGCAGCCTGCTTCAGCCACTTCCTGTCTACATGCACTCCATATCCTTTTTTTGCATCACAGTGCTGCTGATCTCCTGCAGCCTGCTTCAGCCACTTCCTGTCTACATGCATTCCATATCTTATTTTACATCTCAGTGCTTCTGATCTCCCCCAACCTCCTACATCCACTTCCTGTCTACATGCACGCCCTATTCTTATACTCTTTTTGCATCTCAGTGCTGTTGATCCCCCCAGCCTCCTTCAGCCACTTCCTGTCTACATGCACACCCTATCCTTTTTTTTCTTTTTTCTCAGTGCTGCTGATCTCCTCCCACCTGCTTCAACCACTTCCTGTCTACATGCACACCCTATCCTTTTTTTGCATCTCCTTCAGAAACTTTCTATCTACAAGCACTCCCTATCCTTTTTTTACATCTCAGTCCTGCTAATCTCTTCCAGCCTCCTTCAGCCACTTCCTGTCTACATGCACCTTATCCAGCGTCGGCTGCACATCATTACTCAGGACCGGCTTCCTGATAGTGATGATGAGAGACCATATATTGTGTGTCCACTGGCGGTGCACGCGACAGGGTGACAACACAGGAGCACAACTGGGGGACAGTTGTCACCTCGTAGCAGGAAGTGCCTGAAGAAGGACCCTCGTGGCAGGATCACCAGGGATTCATTTCATGAAAGCTGCCGATTGATAAAGATTGAAAACAACTTTTGAAATGATAATAACATGTTGAGGGTTATATGGGATTCTAGTGATTTGGTTTACATGCACTGTATGTGATTTGTGTAGGCGGGCACTACGACCTATGTGGTGGAGAATGTTGTATTGAGCTGGCACCGTTTCTAGGGCTCGCTGACTATGAAGTAGTGTTTCGTACATGGAATATCGCTCCCACCATAGAGCTCAATGATCCCTACTAGCAGAGGCAGCCGGCCTTCTATTGCTGCGGAGGGCAATGCACATGCACTGCAGTGCGCCCCAATGCACAGCCATGCACCATAGTGCAGTACATTGCATTGCATTGCAAAACTTGTTGCATGTCCAATCTTTGGGACTTGGGTTGTTTTTTTAACTGGCTTCCTGAACTAAACGCACGTTAACGCATGTGCATTAAATGGGCCCTAAACGGTCAGTCCGTTGGGGAATGGTAGACGCTGGAGGATTTAATGGAGTCCCCTAGGCTTGCATTGCCAGGTTCAGGCACCCTCGGCACAGCAGAGGTCTCATGCTCCCCCTTGAAAAAAAGCAGGGATGCCCATGAGGTAGCAGTAGCCAATGCAGGGGTGTCCCGAGGCCGGGTGTTACCCCGGAGCGCATGTCATCATCGCACATGCGCCTGACATCACATGGCGCATGCGCGGCCATATGATCGACGCCTGCCGGCGGCCATCTTAGTGTTGGACGCCGGCAGAGAGAGGAGGGGACGTTCACCCGGCCGGATGAGGTATGCCGCCGGGTCCCCTCCTCTCCCCTGACACTGTCGGGCTCTCAGTCCATAACCGAGTGCCTGACTTTTTAGAGGGGGTGACACCAAAATGACTGCCAGTCATTTTGGTGTCACCTCTGCAATGGTGTCACCTAGGTGCGGGCCGCACTCCCCTTGTGACGCCACTGAGCCAATGTACACAGGGAGCTGGAGTATCAGCCAGGGTACAACACGGGTGAAACAGAAGCCAGGGGGGTAGCTTAGCCAGTCCAGCTCAACCCATAACTGAAGCATCCTGACTAACCTTCCCCCTGATGTACACTGTTGGATTTTTTTTTAGGGGATACGTTTCGAAGCAAATTACCTGTGCGAGAAGCTTCTGACAGATGTATTTACTTCCACTGTGTGCAATGCCGCTGCCCTTGAACGTGGGGAGAGCTCCTTGCTGCTTCCATCAGAGGCTTCCCATACAAGTCTTTTGCTTTGCTCACCATGAGCTGCTTACTGACAGGATCACAGTTCCAATCCACCCCCCCCTCCCCCTCACCCCCCCCTACTTAA